TTGAATTTTTTTTTTTTTGATGTCGCTGGGAAATTAAACTCCAGCGGCAGTAGGCATATCTAATCACTCGGCTTCGGCGGCAGGAGCGCTATTCCAATCCAAAAATAGTCAGAAAAAACGTAGTAAAACATTAAAAATAGTTAAAATCAGCCAAACTTGAATATTTCACTAATTTTTTTTATTTCTTTTTCACACTTGATCTTAAAAAAATTTGAATTAATTTTGCTTTGTACTTTCCTAAATAAAAGCTATCTTTACTGTTGACAGTTATATTATAGTCTTGGGTCACGACCTCATATCAAAATGAGCATTTTAATTAGAAAAAAAACTATGTTAAATATAACCGATTTGTCGGGGTTCAGGAACCGGTTTTTTTTCAAGTTGTAATTTCTCTTAGAAAAAAAGCCGAATAAGTGAACACCTTATTGGCGCCTTACTGGCAAAACCCAACCGCGCTAACAACAATAATTTTTTTGTGAACAACTTTCACTTTTCGAAACATTTCGGTTAATCGATGTTCAGACTACTCGACGGTGAGCGGTTAGTCGAAAGTGGTCAATCGAGTAGTTGCAATTGGACTCTCAATCGAAAAAAACATAGTGCTAATAAACTTGTCAACTAACCGAATAGCTGGATACTTAGTCGATTCTTAGTAGGAGCTCCAATATATATGTATATACCAGTATCGATAAGTAATCGATAAGTAATCGTCAATGATAGATAATTCTGATCAGTTTAAACTTCATCGATAAAAACTTTTCCGAAATGAATGCTAGAGATAACAATATCGATAACCATTAATATTAAAATCGATAATCATGACGATAATGGTATCTCCAGTTTGTTATTAGATCACTTTTTCGTTGGAAATTTATATGAAGATATCTTTTGTTATAACGAAAATGTATTAAGGCATGTCAAAAAAAAATTCGATGCAAACAAACTTAAGTCAACTTATGTATTGTGTGGCTGAAAGAAGTTCATAATAATTTTAATATTTATTTTTAATATTTTTAATATTTATTTTTCTTTTGTCTATTTAATATTTAATTTTTTTTTTATAAAAGTCTACCTCATTTTACATATAATTAACTGCATTTAAATGCGCATTTCAAAATTTGTACAAAAATTATAAAAATGCAAAAAAAATGCCAAAATTTCAAACTTTTTACTTTACTTTTAAATTAGGATGAAATGCAAGTTTAATGCGATTACCTTTGATTTTTGGGAATTTTTTAAATGAAGCTGGGCATTTTCTTCCATATAAACAAATTGTCGAACATACTTTGTATGGAAGAAAATGCGTGACAGCGCCAGCAAAAAAATTACAAAAAATTAACATTACTTTTAGTCACTTGAAACTTGCACTTTATCCTGCTGTAATTTAATGGACTTTACTTATAAAATTGCGTACCTAGAATTTTTCTAAAAATTCAGAGTAAAAATATTCTAACAGGTTGAAACAAAAAAATTTCAAATTACACCAAGCAATCAATTTACTCACGACACTATGGGCCAAATATAGTTAAACTGCGTTTTTAGTTTTAGAATTTTTTTTATTAGGACTTTATAATTTCAAAGATATGATAAACTCTAAAAATTACTTAAAAAAAGTCAGTACAATGTAGAATAAAAATGGCAACCACATTATAGAAAAAATTCTGTAGGATTTAAAAAACTTAAAATTTTTTGGTTCACAAGGACGAAGGCCCTTTTAATCAGTTTTATTTTTTTAAGCTAATAAAGTTACAAGAACTATATTCGAGGACATTGTCGAGTTTATATTAGTCCTTATTTTTATTTTTATTTTTATTTTATATTTTTTCAAAATAAATATTGCAACCCTTCGAGGATATTCAAGGATAAAGTTTTCAAGGACATTTTCAATACCTTATGCACTAAAAAATTTAATCTGTTCTTTCTATACAGAATTTTCTCTTTAATTTGATACACATACTGTTTCCCTAAGTACATTGCACTAAATTTTGTAAATTATTTTCTTAATTGCTCATATTATTCAATTTTCAAAATCCTTTTAAAAAATCCTGGCATCAGAGAGAACAACTAAAAAACGCCATTTTACTGATGCCCCATGGCTTCGCGAATATATTGTTTTTTTTGTGTATGAAATTGCCTTTGGCACAGTGTTATGTGTATGTATAATTAGCTAGACATTTATAAAAAAAAGCTATTAAATATTAAATAAACAAAAGAAATATAGCAAAAAATGCTACAGCATAAGGCGTTTCTATTATTGCCACCATTACAAATTACAAATCCCGAAAATGCCGGAATTGTTGGCAAATAATCTCGTGATTTTTGGCACTTAAAAAAGGCCATTATCCCGGGATCTTGGGATTAAAATCCCTAGACAATTTTGGACAAAGACCGTGAAAAATGTGTGAGCATGAAAGTGCACATTCCTTAAATATTAATTTGTTAATGCGTATGCATCTACGTACATATGTCTCCTAATATAAGCATATATAACTACATCCACAAGTCTACATAGCCGTTCTTTGTCATTTTTCGCTTAAGACTCATAAACCCCTTGTTTATAAAGAATAAGCAAAAGTATGTAGAAAAAATAAACAAAAGTTCGACTTTTATCAAAACAAATATTTAGTATTGAAACCAGCAAATTTTCTTTACATACATACGAATCCAAATACATTTGTATACATAAATAAATGAGTATGTATTAGGCCGGGTCAGATAAACTTATTGTAATTTCCCCTCTAATACGAAAGCTTTTTTCGAGAAGATTTTTGGTTTCATGAGCTTATACGATACAGTTATACTATAAAAAGTGAAAACCAGAGTTATTACACACCGTCTCTAGATATTTTTAATCGGATTACATATGTTAACGCCCCTTTAAGGGTCATGTTATGATGAATTATGTCATTCGACCAGTTGTTCTAATTATCTCAATGCTCATTTGACTAAATTCGCTTTAAATAAGAAATTAAACTGCGGAGGGTAATGGCAAACATATCTCTTTCCTAAAGGAACCGACCAGGTCTAAGATATGTATGTACAAATTTGTACATATCTATGTATGTCTTTTATCTCAAACATAAACAATGCTCAAGCAAATGTTCAGAAAATCTAAATATAAACAAATGACCATAGAGTTAATTAGTTTGGCAGCAGAGAGTGTAGATTCTTCGGTGATCAAATAAAAAGAAAAAAAATTCTATATTGAATGCCAAATTCCATGGAAAATGTTTTGTCATATTTGTACATTTATATGTACAAGAAACATATAAATAGGCACGTAGACCAGCACCGAGACAGGGTACCGGAAATATTTTTTTTTTCTCAGCCACCTCAAACGCGGTATTGCACGCCAAGCAACGAAATAACATTTTCAATAAAATAATGACCATATATGGTAATCTAACCCTAACAGTATCTTGCTCCACCTCTTTGCAATTTTTCATTTACAGTGGGCTAGAGTTTCTAATTTTTGGTCACAAATTAAATTATATCGAAACTAATTTTATATACAGTGTAATCCATTTATAATAGACGCGCTTAAGATGGAAACTCTGTTATTCATGTACCTACTTGTCAAGCCCCAGTTCAAACATACACATGAAAAAACTCGGACTCCGCCAATAATGGACAAAAATATCGGAAATAACATTTACTTATTTTTTTTTTTTGTTTTCAAAGACTTTCCATCAAATACAGGAATCACTTTTCACTTAAATTGTTTTAACCCTTGTAATCTGCTAATTATGTGTCTTTTGTGTCCTTATTTAAAGAAGCTTATTCAAAATAGGGGTTGTAGGGTTAGAATTTTCTGTATAGCTACGGTAAAATTTGGCAAGCAATTTTCTCGTAAAAAATTGTAACCCTAAAGTTACTATCATTATGGGTCCTTTGTGCCGGTTTTTAAAGACGATTATTAAAATTGATAGTTGGAGGGTTATAATGTTCTGTACAAATTTGAACTATCAAATTTTATCAAGATTCACCCAGGATAGAAAGTGCGATTAAATCGAATATTTTTCAAAGTACATAGTAAAAAAATTAGCAACTTTTTGTAGAAAAAATGTAACTTCTTGATTAGCTCGTGCCGGTATGGGTTTTTTTGATCCTATTAAAAAAAATTAATTGAAAATGGCGGTTAATTGGATAAAATGTTTTGAAAAGTTTTTATAAGAGATCGCCGAAAGAAAGTAAAGTTCTGTATTTGTTGGTATTTGAATTTATGGCTTTAAAAGGATCTATTTACTGAGAAGAAAATTCTCCAATTTGGAAAAATTGTTATTAAAATTTTAAAAGTTGTCGGTGTACATTTGAAATTTTCCATGTAAACAACATGTAAAAAAATTTGTTTTCATTAAAAATGCTACAACTATTGAACCGTTTGAGAGAATTGAATGCCCAACAAGAATATGTTATCTTAAAAAGTTCAATAGCTTTAAGATTTTTAATTAAAACACATTTTTTTTACATGTTTTTTACATTGAAAATTTCAAATGTACACCGACACCTTTTAAAATTTGAATACATTTTATTCCTAATGGGAGAATTTTCTTCTCAGTAAACGACTGGCATGCTTTGCTGAAATCGGCCAAATTCGCTTAAGCGGTTACAGCGGCAAATAAGAAGAAGAAGAAGAGTTATTTTGGATCACCATAATGCATATGTAAAATTTATTTAGTAACCGAATTTTTATTTTTTTTTTTTTGGTGACCCTTCATAACACATTTTTAGCCTCTAATTGCCATTTTTGGTTACTTTTTCATCGAAAAAGTGTCGAAAAGTTCCAAAACGGAAAAAGTGGAAGGGTTAAAAAATTTGTTGATGATTGTTACATCGTCGATGATGTCTAGTAAAATCATTTGCTTAATATTCTCACTTTGGTTATTGGTGTTTCCGTCAGGGTAGGATTATGATATATAGTGGAACATATGTAGATTAATTTGTTTTATATTAATTTTTTTTTACTTTAGTTAATAACATACAATTAAATTTCTACTTACTTAAAGCCCAGCTTTATTTGATCGATCGTCTGCATGGCTGCCATGTTGATTTTTTTCTTTGGAATTAATTTTTAATTTTTTTTTTATTTAAATATTTCTTTTTACAAATAAACGCGTAGCGTATGTACTTCTGAATGCTTTTCCAGGAATTATCGTTTTACCAAATCACAACAAAAATTTAATCCTTAATTGAGGTACATATGTATTTGTTAGGTATCTATCACGTGGAGCGGAATTATTTAGATATATCAGTCGATGTATACTGGAAAATTTAAAGGCACGTGTAAGTTGCATACATACATGGAAGAATATGATATATCTGCAAGCAACACATACAAATGTACATACACACATAAATCATATGCACATACATACTTAAGAGTGATGAGCAGCTTCTTCAGATTTATACAGGCGCGTGCGAGCAATTTAATTTATTGATAATAACCTCGTTATACTTCAACACTTCTGCTAACTTTTATTCTGAGAATACTTGTATGAGTATATTGCGCCTTTAGGAGCTGCCGCAAAGATTATTTATTACTTATGTTCAATTAACAGCTTCTTGTGTTCTTCAATGAAATATCCTCATTAAATACTAGGCTCGTTTGAAATTGAATGTAAACCTTGGATTTCTTCACGCCTACAATAATTTTCATAATATGCTAAAATTAACTTGTGAACCCGCTTGGCGTTAAAACGGCAACATTGAATTTAAATTTGATGCAACCTTATTCAGAAAGTAAAAAAAAAAAATCGAAATGTTTCACCTATGTAAGTCCTTTAAAAAATAAAATCTTATTACACATCTACCAGCACAGTGCCTTAATCTGATACATCAGTTTTGAAATTCTAGGTAGCGGTGCAGGTCTGCTGATCTTCAGAAAAATGGTGTACATAGATATTACTTTTCAAATAGATGGCAGCCCTTATCAAAATTATTTTCAAACTAAAATTTTCTTAAAACTCTTACCGGTGGCACTCATATTTTAACATGTAATTAATATGCATAAGTTAAATAAATTCGATTTTTCGCACAGGTGGCAACCCTCATTGAAAGTATTTTCAAGTCAGTCTGGCGTTGTGATACATATTGCAATTAACTGATGATTTAAATTGAATTTGATTTTTCAAACTCAACAGACAGTTCAGATATAAATCCTTTTCAAACCCACTTCGCTTGATACCCAACTTTTTATAGTTCATTTAGCTTATTAAACATTTGGAATCTAATTTTTTAACAGCTGGCAACCCTCTTAAAATACCACAAAAGATTCTATATGTTTAAACTAAGGGTTTCTTAACACCCGTTTCTTTGACACACATATTTTAATATATCATATAACTTGTGTATAAGTTAACTAAATTCGACTGTTAAACAGGTGGCAATCCTCTGAAAAATATTTTCAATTACTAGCTCCTTAAGCATGTTTCATCTGGCATCCATTAGGTGATACGTATTACCTCAATTCAAATTGAAATTTATTTTTTAAACAGGTGGCAAGCCTCATACATTTAGTTTAGAAATAAAGCCTTTTCAATACCATTTCCATTGATACCCATATAGGAATAGTTGATTTATTATTTTAATTAACTTGAATTCAATTTTTTAAAGATGGCAATCCCTTTCGAATAAGTAAAACCTTGTAGCATATCTGCAGGCATAGCGCTTTGATTTGACAACCCACTTGAAACTGGCCCTTAGTTTGATCAAAATTGTAGATGTGTGCTATTAAATTGCATACCAAAAATTTTATAAGAATTCACATTAAAAAGTTTAAAATTTGTATGACAATTTGTTGATAAATTTCGTACAAAGTTTGAAACTGCGATTTATATGGTTTTGGTTAAAGCTTGCACAAGATTTATATAGAAAATAACAAAAATAAAAAATAACTTGAAAAAAATGTGAGTATTTGTTTGAGTCACTGTAGGTGTGCATCTTTTGTATATAAATATTTACACATGTATGTTGAAAAAATCTTATCTCCCTGCTACATATTTTGCCTTACTAAATCGTTTATTAGGTGCAGCAGGTATATTTTCATATGTTGGTAATTTTCGATGTGATTTCAGCGGCCAAAATTATATATGTATGTGTACACCTATGTACGAGTACACATACATATGTATGTAAATCGAGAGAACTGGGAACGTTCCATGGAAACTTTTACCCAAGACACTGCAAAAAACAGCGGGTATATATACGAGTATATAATATAAAATATCACGGCAATCGATTTCAAACAAATGTTACGAATGTACTACATACATACATATGTATGTGTGTTTATTTCGGGATGTACAAAAAAAAATTTAATATCGTTAAATCTCATCGCAATATGAGGAGCGCTCTAAAACACGATTTCAAGCGATGCTTTTTTAAAAAACTTTCACGATTCCTCATACCGAAAATTTTCGCAAATAGAATTTTTCCATGGCATACGCCATGGTTGAAGGATTGGTGCAAAAATTCAAAATTCCTGTGTAAATCACAAATCGGTGGTTATAGGAAATTTTTTGGATCGCTGATCGGGAGTTCCGAACCGTGTGGATCGCTACATGTCCATATTCAAAATGGTTCTACAATTTTAATTCCCTTTATCTGGAGAGTGAAGGATATACTAATTTCTTTTCAGGAAATCAAAAGATCGCAAGACGGCTCTCAAAAAGAACTGATTGTTGCAGATTTCAAAGATTATGTAGAGTTTACATTATGAGAAACTTACTGATTACCTACTATCAATAATAAGAACGCACTCGATACTTTTGGTAGAATTGCATTGCCTGCTAACAGCGCATGCGTCAAAATTAAGTCTTATAAAGGACAAAAAATGTACGATTTATTACTATTCCGAGTAAACTGTGGATCATTGATTGCGATTTGCGATTGTGCAGCCTTCAGCAGGCAAAGTCTGGCGTTACTCGGCAAGGTAGAACTGCAGGACGTACAGTCAATAATCGAAAAAGGACCAAAGTGTTCACGAAAATTCATTGAAAGAACGGCAATGTTCTTTGACATTGCGTGAATACACTGATTCATGGGTCGTAAATTTATCTGGCACCAGCATGGAAGTTATCTCAGTTTATGTGAGCCTGCTTATGTTTATCCAGAGCATAATTTAACCTTACCTATGAAGAGGCTCTTTTTTTGGCGGCACCAGTTATGATCACTTGTGACTTTCCTTGTGACTTGCATCTTTCTCGACCCTATGCCTTCAGGTAAATTTGGAGTTAGGAATAAAAAAAAATTTCAACAATTAGAAGAAGCATTTTCGAAATGAAAAAAGTTTAAATAATACAAAAAATTACTTTCTTTGAGTTTTTCCCAACATATGTATGTATGTGTATGTATGTATGCACATATGAATGTTGTCTGCTTTTATGTACATACATATGTGTGTGCATATGTACACATAGTATAAGTAAGTATGTACGTATATACCTCGATATTGGCATAAGCTCAAGCGAAATAAGCGAAAGCTTTCGACCGCATATCCTTGCAAGGACAAAAAAGCTCAAACGCGTTTATCAATTTTATCACAAACAGTATGCTATCAAAATAACCATATTGTTTAATAAATATCTATTAGTTTTTCTCTCTTTTGCAAAATTTATAAATATGTATATGTATGTATTTTATTCATTAGCACCACTTTAAATTTTCACAAAAATATATTTCTGCACCTTCCAATGATTCTCTTCTTTGCATTTTTTTTT